ACATTCTATTTGCACTTACCTATATATATGCACATATATATAACAAGCAGTACATGTAGTACTATACAACATTTCGCAGAATCGCACTGTAGATTTTGGGGTCCTTACTGAAAGCCAGGTAGCCATATGGGCTAATCCTTTGCAAATTCATTCTCATACTTGTATTTCTGATTCAGTGGAGGCTGTACAGAGCCTCTTCGTCTTTCAATTGGACCATTTATTAATCTGTACATGACGAAATTCACAATAATATTTAAAACATACTCCATTAATCTCAGGTTAAGTGTGATCATTTTGGCAATCCTTTCAACCCAATCATAAATTTGGAGAGCGCTCCTGAGATGTATTGAACGTGCAAAGATGGTTTGTGTATATTGTATATAAGCAAAATAACAAATGGTCTGATCAGCTTCCTGGTGTATAAGTGCGTAATATGCTTACGTTCTGTCGTAGTGTTTTTTTTCAATAATACACCTTCTGCAATATTACATCCATCCATGAATGCAAACCTAAAAACCAGAAATATAGTGGTCAGTTATGCAAATGCAAATTGAAACCGCTCTACTCGTAAACTAAACTTTTAAATTATTATTTTTTGCCTCAGTGCACATGTGTTTATGGTGGTGGGAGGGGTCTTAGCTCCTTTGATGCCCGACTTTTATCAAAATTAGTCTGAACAACTCCCCTTACATTTAATGAAATATTTAGCACTTGTCTGCACTAAACCACACTGATCCCCTCTCCCCAGTGTTCTTTCCTGGTTTATTACAGCGGGATATCTGTGCAGAAATGTTCTGCCGTGTGCACTCGTTTCACTTCTCTGTATTTCTTCACTGTGGTGAATTGCGCGACAGTTAACCAATGCAATATCTGCACCAATCTCCAATAAACCAGGTTATTTTACATGTTGTCAACACAAATCAAGTAGTCACTAATCCCTGCTGAAGAGTTCAAAGCATTGTACAGGTGTTTCATTCATCCTTGCTATCGAGTATGGATATTGTAACAGGGAATATATGTATATGAGAAAGCCTAACCAGGAGAAGTTAGTCCAATATCAATAGCATCCTATAATCGTTTTTGTGCCGTAGTTAGATTGAACAGCTGACATGCAAACCGTGGTACAGTTCACAACGCAAACCCTGATATTTACGGTTTAGTTCGATTCGGTTGTCTTTACAATCAATGACCATGCACCTTCGTGCGGCAGTTTTGGTTGCCCGTTTGAATGCATGAACAGAGGGAAGATTAGAATGTTGATAGCAGGGCCAAAACTGCACAAAAGCCACCGCTTCCAACACTCAATGTCTCTAACGCTCGGTTATGCTACCTCGTGGTCCCCATCCGGGAAGCATAAAGTGACCTATATGACAGTTTCCTGGTCCGGGTTCTGATACCCTCAATTCAGGTGTTAGTTTGATCGCTCACAACTTCTTTCCATTCGTTACATATCTTGGCTAATACCGGATGCCGTGGAACTCTATTGGATGGCATGGATAACACAGGTCCGAACCAATGTAATCTATAAAGGTCAACCACTCACACCAGAGGGTAGCCACGATGACCTAAAACTATCTTCGCTCAACCTCAGCAGCACACTGAATGGACAGGAGCTCTCGAACCCGAGAATCCGCCAATTGTTATCACCCTACCGAATTAGTGTGTCTCACTAGGCGTTGTTGCAGTCATACGAACAAAGTGCATGAAGCCAGCATGAATATCGGTTACCAAACCGCACAATTTCTCGTTTCGAAAATGCTTGTGGTTCTCAGGTAGGTTTAGACTACAAAACCGTGAACGTACTGTAGCTCTACCAAACACCTTTCTGTATAGTAGTTCTGGCCTGCTTGTAATTTGTTATTCGATGGAATACGTTTTTGTTGGATTCATTTATAGATTTCCTAGGCACCACATCTTCCGAATTACTTTCAACTACATTATTTTGTGTAGTTCACATTAAATAACCACAACAGATTAGTTAAACTTATTTGAAACACAAAGCTTCATATACACTGAAGGTGATGATCATTGAAAACATTAGCGGGTAGTAACGTCACCAAATTATCACCCCGGTGATGTGTGTTCGAATTATAGCACCACCGCCTGACTTACCCCATTGTGTGTTGAACGGCAATTTGATTGGCCGCTTTCCCTTTCCTGAAAATTGTATCTCTGTATAATCAATAAAAGGAGGTAAAAAGAAAGAAATGAAAAAAGACTGGATCGTCTGTCACTGATACTGGTGAAGTTTATGAATACATATTTATCGCGATAACTGAGACCACTGAAAGTCACACACTTGTTGCTGACATCATGTCACTCGTATGCCATCTCCGCTTGACCAACCCAATTGCCGAAAAACAATTGATTTCGTTCCTGATTCCACGTAATTCGGTCCCCGGTTTCTTAGCTGCGTGTGATTCTGATTAGGCCCTGTATGCTTCGTTCATCTGCTTCTTAAACATGTAGATTCTGAGAGGCTTTTAAACAGCTGTTTTATCTTTCAGGCATTCATCTACAGCGGTAATACACTGGTGAGAGTAATGGGGTTTTAGTTTTTTGAACCTCTATTATTATCCTCAGACTTATGAGGTATTGACCTCTCTAAAACGGAGTCCACATTGACTGAAGATACGTAACGGTAAGCGTTCAATTTTTTGTGATACCAGTTTTTGCTTATTTAGGGGTTTGTAAATGAAAAATAATATACCGTTTATGTTACATTTTATATTTTTACCTACGGAAGTCGCGCATTAAAGATTGCCCCTGTAGTACCGTCATGCGGCATTACATTCGTCGGTAATCGGGTTATAAAACTACACCACGATAGACGGCGGTAAGAATTGTCGTATCATACTTAGCATTGTAAGTATCTAAAATATGGAGAAAAATAAATCTGATGGACAGGAAAGGCCTTGTAAATTCACCAGCACAGAGCATAATTGAATGTGCACACAGAGCAAATGAGTTGAAAGAATTTGCGAAACAGTTCCACATTAAAATCAAAACATGTCGTGCTACTGCAGCCACAGATCTCGAAATAACACTCTAACCTGATTCTAACAGAGCAACGAAGAGTTCATGAACATTCGTGTGATGTGATGTTGTCTATGAGAACCCTACAACCACATCAATGCAACTAAAGGAGAGAATGCAGAAAGACTTCCCGGGCACTTCAGTAAGGGTTCAGTTGATTGGTTGCTGGATAGACACTACTATTCGGTTAAAAAGCGGACTGTCCTGCTAGTGATACGAAATACAGAAACGATCAAAGTAAAACCGGCGAAATATGCCGACTGGTTAAATCAATTGGGTGACATAACACGGAGGCTGCATATTGACGATACCATACGTTGCTGTCGCAGCTATGGACACCCCAAAGTGAACTTTGAAGCCCTTCGAAGCCTTCCATCCAACAACGAACCCAACTGGAACATAATGGCGTGTTCATCTATCGCTGGTATCTTTAAATCTGAGTGTAATANAATACAAAGAATAATTTGCATGTTTCCAGTGAGTTCCACCAAGCTAATCCACGTTGATCTTACTATGCAACCGGGTGTTCCACTTGTTTCTATCTTCGACAACTCACCCGTTAATCGGAGGACTTTGGGTGCGCAGTCGCCTGCCAACCACTGAATTTTATTTCTTCCCTTATATATCCCTATCTCAATCTTTTACCGTTCGAGTTGCATTTTGTAACCCACCCCCTTCTGCGGGATGGTCGAACCGTCTCCAGTGGGATTGATAGGGAACCAAGGAACCGTTTGCTTAGAGTTGATGATTTTTATTCCAAAACTTTACACAAAACATCCCAAATGCTATTTCGGTTATAACACACGCACGTATGACCGAGTGCGACGAATTTTGAGCCACAGGCTACTGCCCAACACTGAGCCCTTCACGAAAGAAGAAGACGTTTGAAGGCTACGTGTGCTGTTCATCGTTCAGCAGACATTACCCCTGATATTGACCTTGAGAGATCATTTTAGAACGAACATTTGTTTGGTCATCTGATAACTACTGAGTCCCATTGAACCTAAATTGCTTACCCTTAAATGCAGTTTTCCTTTTACACATCAACTTGGATATAGTAGCAGCCAGAGCGGTGGATGTATTCTATGACCATATGATTGTTAACTGTGATCAGTGAAAGAATACGGGGCTGAGCTGAAATATGCACGAAAATAGGAGTAACCATAGAAACATCACTCGGACTACGCATTTTCGGTTGCTTTTCAGGTATCACAATATTATTTTGAACGCTTTATCAAAAGTGAGACTGTGCATCTTTGATACGTGTAGAAATTGATCACAGAACAAACAACAAGTAAACAGAAACAACCCCTGAAAGCATTGATTGATATTAGCCGTGGGTCAAAAAGTCGGAACACGTATGACCAACAGAGAATTTATCAATATGATCAGCGGACCGCAGTTCTCTGTTTGACCGTGACAAAGAGGCACGGAAATCACAACAAGAAAAAATAGAATTCACCTCCATTCTGGTAGAAAACGAAAACAAAAATGGATGAGACGATGATCACGGCAACGCGCAATTAGTTGGATACGATCTGATATGTGAAATGTGACCTTTGATCTTGAATCATCTCTTATTTGGTTGAACAATGTGCTTTGCTCTTCCACTGCTCCGATTTCGGTGATGATTAAGGGAAAGGTAGGGTGCGGTACGGATGCAAAATGTACTGGCCCCGTGTTGGAATCAACAACGAAAGTATGACCGGACACATTGGTCTTTTGAACCATTTAAATGATGCACTTTCATCATGTGGCAGCTGTGTAATAGCTTGCCAAAGGAAAACCAATTTCAGGGATGTAGTTTTACACTGTATCAGTGAGAATCATTTGTACACTGTGTTCCGCATTTAAACTGCGAGCGTTCGCGTTATGCACAAGCCCTGTGGACNGTGGACTTGCGGAGATGTTTATCTGCATGTATTTAGTCGTGTTTTTGTGTGTGCGGGTGTACGCGTGTGATCCTAGGGTTTTGAATCCGGTTTTCCGGTTAGGTTGCTGAAAAATCCAATTCGGGAAGCAATACTGGTACCCTGTGCTACAACTCTTTTATGAGTCGGCTTTTGGGAATTCGGCTTTACAGGAGTCCGTTTTAGCTCCACGGTAAACGGAGCCTTGGATCGAGGCTCAGTACTATTGAAGAGCTTTTTGTCCGCGGTAATGGAATTCTGGTCTTTCGTGTGTTCTGAGTAGTTCTCTTTGTTGGTGCCGTCTGAATGTCTGGTTACGCCCATAATTTGTTCGGTAGAAGTATTTTTCTGCTTCGAATCCACTTGGACCGATGTTACAGCAACGAAAGTCATCGGTTTGGAAGATTGCATCGTGTCCTTGAGAACGACCGAAGCAGATATCTTTTCGGGTGCTTCCGACTTGACTGTCTCCTGCGATTTCCCGACCACCGTGGCGGTTTTACCTTTTTTATCCTTTTGCGATGATGACATTTCCATCTTTGTGGATTCAAAATCACCTGACTTCTTCTTTTTCCTTTTCTCCGGCGTTGGAGACCTCATATGTTCCTGGTTCACGGATGCAGATGATTTCGCTATACTGGGTGTATTGCCTGTGGCAGTTTTGGATGCATTGCTACCGGACGGATTCCAACCTAGTTTGCTCAAAATAGAAGGTCGCCTACTTGTGTTTGGTGGACTGGGTGACGCAGGACTGCTTGAACTGTCCTCTGAACCCAAACTATCTGAGTGAAGTAAACGCTTTGTTGTTAGTCGACCAAATAGACTCCGATTCATTGACTTCAACGATTTACGTCGGCTCTTGGTCTTAGGGGACTGTGTAACCGGAGATTCGACCGGTGTGGGTTGCGGTTGAATGATTATTTTATTATCAGGTGCACGCGAACTGTCAATCAGTGTGTTCGACGGCTGAATCCCGGACAATTCTTGTTCTGGTAGACATGGGTGGTGAAGAACGACTCCCATGCGTTGCAATGCGATAATAGCGTTGACAGCTTTCTGAAATTAATAGAAGAATGAAGAAATAATGAATCTTGTTTTTCCAACAAAATACCGTGCTGTGAATAAAGGTACTTATAAAACATTTATTGGCAGAAAGCGGAAATGCACTGGACTACAGTTTTGGAGCAGGCAAAGAACACTTCATGAGAACCAA